AAGGAATGCATGTAAGATGACCAGGGTTCTTTCTAGTCATAGCTGTGCCACCAGCCAACTATGTGACCTTGGATAAGGCACTTAACCTCTCCAGGCTTTGGTTTCTTCATCTGTAAAATTAGGAGATTGGGCTATATGATCCCTAAAGTCCCTTTTGCTCTTAAATTACGTTTTGGACACTTAAGCATGGATATAAAGTGGTTTCACCATAGTACTCAACTCTACATTTTAAAGAATGACTGACTCATTCTAGGTTCAAGCCTATAAACCTATTCTCACGATTCCATCCCTCTGTCTTTCTAGTTGAATGAATGTTTGAAACACATGATTCAAATTCAAATATGATTTTCTTAGCTTGCTGAAAGGGCATTGCTAGAGCTTGTAGCCTTGCTACTCTGTTCTAAGTGTCCAAGTCTGGCATCTGAAAACCTTGATTTCCTTTGTACATGCTATTATTTTGATCTTATAGGACAGTCTACATCCAGAATTCACCTGCCCCATGCCAACCTCAGAACTCACCTGACTGGGATTTTTTGTTGTCAACATTGGGAAATTGTGTATTATGGAGAGAAAATGGGGAACCAGAACTAAAGGTCTTCAGATGTGAAATTCACAACCTTAACTGACAAGTTAAAGGTTGAAGGAGGCAATGAGTCATAAGTGAAGGATTCATAATTGTCAGGGATATCATGGGGAACAGCGGGTCAGAAACTAGGTAGACATGTAAATAAAAACCTGGAAGACATATATACCAATGGTTAAGGAAAGAAAATGGGGTAGTCAAAGTCCAAGCAAGCAGAAAAGAACCTAAAGTGGGCACATTGCAAATGACAAGATGGCTAATAAAGCTCTGGGCTAGTGCTTAGGGCCTAAGAGATCTTCTGAATCAAAAGCATAGGACAAGGCAGACAGGAAAACAGATATAAGTTTGTGGCCACCAAAGAGATCTTGATTCTGATCTGAACTGAATCATTCAGTTGCTAGGAAAAGAATCATTCGAGAACACACATACAAGCAAGTAAATGAGTGATGTCATCTGACTAGTCTGGGGAGATAAAAGTCACTGGAAGTTAAAGGCAGTGACCAGCTACTCCTGGCTCATGGAATAGTGTGGCACCATGGTGTCAGAAGCCAGTCTTACAATTCTTAGAGCACCCAAAAAGAAAAGGACAATATGATCATCATTCCTATCCAACTTTCAAGGAGTGATTGCATCAATAAGCAGAAAAGTAGGTACATTTATCTCAGAAGCCCTATGATGGTCAGATTCCCTTCAGAGCTTCCTCATTTTTCATGGGGCAACTTCACCCTGGTCCTAGTGCACTGAAGACAAGGGAACCTGATTTAACACCAGTGAGGAGCCAGTCAGGCAAGACAGGACTGAAACTATAAGGCAGCAATAACTTCTAGTTCAGGAAGGGCAGCCACTTGGCCAGTTTGCACCTGCTTCCTATTCTCAGGTTTATGGCATGCATTGTTATCTAATCTCAACCTTCTTTCCCAATGAACCTGGCAGTCCTTCTCAACACAAAGCTCTAGACAGCCACTACTAATTAACATCAATATCGGCAAGTGAAATTTAAGTATATTTTCCATCTATATTGCAAGTAGTTGTTAGAGCAACTACAACCCAGACTTGAGGCCTCAGGGAACTTTTTCTGTGTTGACTTTACAACCTCAATCCTCTATGCCTCTCTGTGGTTCACAGATACTACCTGGGGCACTGGGTCTAAGGACAAAATCATTTTAATCATGTGATCCTGCTACATAGGTTCACAGTAATTGACACAGGCTATCCAACCATGCTTCTGCCTTGCATTTGGTGATTAACCCCTCATGACCCGTAACGATGACCTTAAGGTAATGTAACACTCAGCCAGCACCACTGCCCTGCTAACCCAGGCAAAGTGGATATGGTCTTAGGTTTTAATTCTGCAGGACCATTCCACACGCCATTTATAATATTTTTCATTTTTCTAAAGTGATCCAATTTCCTGGAAAAATCATTCTTGAAAAAGTTATTATCTTCCTGGTAATTCTTCAGGTAAAATAGTTCCAGAGGCTAGTTGCAGTGGCACCTTTCCAATTGAATATATAAATCAGAAGGTACGCCTTACTTTAAAAGATTTCCTCCTATCAAATAGAATTCTTCCTTTGAAGGAGAAGATTTGTTTCTGGTCTTCTGGCCTGATTTACAAGCAATGTAAACAGAATACTCCCCTTCTCATTTGAGGATTCTTGTACAAATAAAAACAGCTTATTAAATAGAGTAGTGATAGGGCCATTTTGCAAGGTTGTGCTGAAGAAAATCCATTAGTGATAAAATAGCTTCATGTTTTTTAGTAAGTTTAAAGCACAGGAAGTCTTTTATTTCTTCTACCTTTAATTTAGATGGAGCTTGATAATATTTGTCAGTTTAAAATTAACCAAAGGTAGACAGGTTCTCAGAAAGACATCATGTAACTTTGTTAAAATCTGGAAGAACAAAGATTATGAATTTTAGTATTTGAAAGCTAGTTTTAAAGAGAAGTGATTTTATTAAGAAGTATTTGAGTCTGTAAATATATGTAGCTTTACTTTATGGGAAAAAATCTTTTGTTTCAATGAAGCAGAGTTACTTGCTTCATTTTGTTGTTTTGCTTTTAAACTAAACCCTATTACTTCACAAACGGATCCTGAGTGCTACAGAACTCTCTTCAAAAGTTAATGTTCCTTACAAATTTAATGCAGTAATACACTGCATATGATTCAGATATTTTCTAACAATTATAGCAAGCATTAACTGAAGCTCATTCAGTTATATAAGAACCGTCGAGAGCTTTGAGATTCTTTTTTTAAATTTCAGGAGTGATTGTAACAACAATGTTTTAAAAAATAATATAATCACAATAGGAACTTATCGTTTTAAACTGGAAAATAGTTAAAAGACTAGATTATTTGCCATACAAATATTTGGAATACATCAGCTATATTGCTTTTATATTCATACTGAAATAATTAAATTTAAAAGTAACACAATTTAGAGCCTTCAAAGTTAAATGCCAAAATTAAACATTCTATTCTAGAAATAAAACAGAGCTGTGGTTTTTCAGCTTCAGATGTCTGGAACCTCAGCTATTCAAAGCAACCTAGGACCCCAAAATAAGAGAAATCATGAAAATAGCCAAGAGTTAAAGGTACATTGTTTATAGGTCTTATGTTTATGGTTATTTCACTAACTAGAAAAAAGGAGCCAAATTTCACACAAACCACTCCACCCCTCTCTCCCAGGAAGAAGGAATATCTGATGGATTATACCCGGATAGCAAACTGCAGTACTATTAGTAACAAACCTGAAATGAGTAAGAATGAAAAAAGAGAGATCAGAGAAAAACAACGGAAGGAGAGAGACATAGAGGGAAAGAGGATCAATGTTATAAAATGCGAAAAGCATTAGACCCACTGATGTCAGGGATCAGAGATAGCAGAGCACAAGGAAGGGGACAAGCAGTACCTGCTAGTTAGTGAGCTTACAATCAAAGAGGAAACTAAGCCCTCACTAACAATGTAGAGAATCACTGAGTTGGAGAAGCAGAAGGAAAAGAAAAAGAAATTAGTCACTGTAAGTTCATAAAGTATTCCAAACTTTAATAATTTCCAAAGGTTTACTATAACACAGTAAACAAATTGACATTTAGAAAACTCTGAATCAATCATATTGAAAAACACTCTTTACAAAGTCTGTGAAGCTTACAGTATATTTTAGTATGATTTCCACCATAAATAATCTTTTTATTAGTACTTGAGGGATAAAGCTTTAATTCTCTGAAAAAAAATCACAAATTCAAGAAACTTAATGCCCACATCATGTGAGACAACTGAATAATCATTCTACATAGAAAAATCCCCAAATTGTTAAATATTTCTTGAAGTAATACTAATGGGTGAATATGGATGGTGTTTTGGGAAATTGTTAACTGGCACATTAGAGACAGTATACCACAGTAGTTAGACATGAGGGTTCTGGAGCCAGATAGTCTAGGGTCAAATCCTGTCTCTGCAACTTACTGATCTCTTCTTTGGTGACCTCATCCTAATTAACAGCTTATGTAAATTTTTTAACTGCTCTGTATCTCAGTCTTCTCCTCTGTAAAACATAGATAACAAATGTTGCCTATCTCATAGAGTGGCTGAAGGAATTAAATGAGGTAAGATAGATAAAGGATTAGCATAGTGTCTAGGGCATAGAAAACACTCAATAAATGTTAGCAATTATTAGCATTACACATCACTGGGACTGTGAAAAATAATCTGCCCTTCTTTAGTCTCTCCTGATTTTAATCCCAGTCACACACCACCATCATACGAATTTTCTTAAAACTAACCTGCCCCCCAAAATTTTGATGATTCCTTATTGTGCAGCAGCCAAGTCTGTGTTTCTTGTCTTTCAATTTAAGGTAGTGAAGGTCCTCCCCAAATCTGGTACCTTTCTCTCATAATTACTATTAATTATGTGTTAGTATTTTCATCCCCATTTTACAGACAAGGAAACTGAGGCTAATTTGGTTAAGAAAAATATTGCCCCGTGGAATAATTTTACAGATTTACTTTTGGCTCAGCAACCTGTAATAAATCTTAAAGTTACAGGTTAATAGTAAATTTTTTTTTGGTCCCCAGGTGATACTTCTTCCTCTCAGTTCACCATAACTTTAAGCCATAGGGATGAATCTGAAAACAATCTAATGATTCAAATGATTCTACATTTTCCATTATCTCTGTGTTTTTGATGGGACGTAGGGGCGACATTTCAAATCTTTCATAACCAACTTCATGTTTCTATGTATTTAATAACATTAAGGAGGATGAGATTGATTTGAAAAATAAAGAAAGTGCATGAAAAGGAGAGGCAATGGAGGAGGAGACAAAATAAAATCAAAAAGGAAAAAGAAGGAAGGAGAAAAGAACAAGCAGAGATGCTTGAATCGCTGTTTGGTATACATTTTCTTTTGCTTTCCGAGAAGAAACAGGCAGAATGTCTACATGTGTGCACCCATGACGACATCTTTCACAAGAGGGCACTGGTACACAGGATGATGGCATGACTATGAGTGAATGGACCCCAGAGCAACAGAAAGAAGGTAATCCTCTCACTGTTTGCCACTTGCTCTGCAGCCATTCTTTTTACAGGTTTCATATCTTCTGCTATCCAGAATATGCTCTGGGGCACTTGGAGAGTAAAAAGCCTCATCTGTCAATACATCTAGGTGAACACAAGACCTTTTTATCCCCAGATAGAAAATGAAACACAAAAGTAACATAAATACTGCAATACCAAAGAGAGCCGGGCACTGTAAACTATTAATATCATGTGAATTGGCTGATATTTTGGAACAGTCTTAGAACACCCTTTCCTATATCTCTATTTTTTATATGAAGTAACAGTTTCACTGTCACCCAAGCAACCCCACAAAAATTGTATTATTGATAGGTCTATTTGAGGTCTTTTCTTAATATTTTATCAGAACTCAATTCAATAGGCCTATAAAAAGATAATAATGGTTGTTTTCTTAAATCTGCTCATACTTCAGCCTGGAAGGCCACTTGGAGAGGCCATCAATCAGGTCTGAGTGAGATTCTAAGTTGGAAGTCAACACTGATGGAAAGCAAAGACCGCATTTCAATTAGGAAACCCTCAAAAATGCAATTCTGTCTGTGAAACTGCAAATGATCCTAATAGAAAGGAGGGAAGGTGGCAGTGTCTAAATAAACCAGTGTCATCACATGAGTAGCTTTCTGACAAATTGTTTTAGAAGAACATTTTTTTAAATGGAAAGAATGGAGAGGCCATTACAAAACATTTATATAATGGGAACATAAGTAACAGTCTACAAAATATTTCCCACATGAGTATTGTCTGAATCCAGAATTCCAATCAGCAATGTGCATCCAGGGATTCACTAAACAAAGCAGAAGAGGCTGTTTGTCCCCTAGAATAAAATAAAAAGAAACAATGAATACAGCAGTTAAAAATTTGCAGAGCGCTTTTGTGTGCATTATTTAATTTGCTCTGCATCAGAACCCTTGAGGAAGAAATTATTAATTTCTCCATTTTAGAGAAGAAAAAATGAGAGGTCAGAAACAATAATTGACCTGAATCACATTACTAATAGGTGGTGACCTAGAGACTGAAAGCCAGGCCTTCTTGCTCTAAAAGTTCATGCTTGTTGCTCTTTGCTATTTCCTTTTAAAATGAATGTATTTGCCATGCAGTTGAGAAAAGACATCAATTTTATTTATGTTTGCGTTTCACAGAAATTGACATATTTATATACAATTATATCAATATATATTTATTTGCTTATACAACTATTAGAATTCTGTTCATTCTAAGACTTAGCAGGCCATGACTATACTTTAATTTTGTTTTATTTCGACGTGGGCAACAATTTCAATGAATTCTCTTTATTTTCCATCAGCATGAAAGTATATTTTCCTGAATAATTGATTTATTTGAGGTTTTAATTGCATAGACAGCTTCAACACTTTTTACTTAGATTGAAAGAGTTCTTTTTAAAAATAGTTTTAGCCAGGTCTTGGTGACTCATGCCTATAATCCCAACACTTTGGGAGGCAGAAGCAAGAGGAAAGCTCAAGCCCAGAAGTTGGAGGTTACAGTGAGCTATGATTGTGCCATTGCATTCCAACCTGGGTGACAGAGCAAGACTCCCTCTCTAAAAAATAAATAAATAAAATTTAAAAATTAAAATTTAAAAAATTTAAATAAGTTTTCTCTATTTATAAAAGTCATACATTATTATTGTAGAAAATTTGGAAAAGACAGAAATTTAGTGCTGTTTAAAATATATTTTCAATCATGCCTAAGTAATTATATTCACAATTTGGTTTTATGAAATTATAATCATATTTTATTTTATAGCCTTATAACTTAATTTTTGTTAACAATATATCTTGATCATTACCCACATTATATAAAATAGTCCTTGAAAATATGTCTTTTTATGGCTATAAATTATTCATAAAACAATGTACAGTACTCTAATTTTTTAACCAAATTCTGATTGTTAGAAAGTGAAGTTTTCCAGTGTTTCATCATTTTAAATTGTAGCACTCTTAAACATGCCTTTGTATAAATATTCATGTAGGAAAGATAAATTTGCATAAAGCAGTTGGAACGGTTGAATTCCCCACCATCATCCAAATATAACAATTTTACTGCTTTCTTATTCTTGGGTAAACAAAAATGCATTAATTTAGGTTGTCTAACTACTATAAACAATCTACATTGGGGAGATTTTCTTTAAGTAAACTTTTTATTTTGAGATAAGAGTCACATAGAGTTGTAAGAAATAGTACAGAAAAATCCCATATATCTTTTAACTAGTTTTTCCCAACAGTACCATCTTGCATAACTATAGTATAGTATTAAGAGTGGAATATTGACATTGATACAGTCAAGGTACAGAACAATGCTATCACCACAAGAATCCCTCATGTTGCCATTCTATAGCCTCTCAACCAACCCCCTCCTTAAACAGCAGCAACCATTACTCTGTTCTCCATGTCTATAATTGTATCATTTCTAAAATATTGTATAAATGGAATTATGCAGTATATAACCTTTTGGAATTGGCTTTATTCATTCAGCATAATTCTCTGAAGATTCATCCAGGTTGTTGCACATATCAATAGTTCATTCCTTTTTATTGTCATTTTATTTTATTTTTAAATTTTAGTAGAGATGGGGGTCTCACTTTTGCTCAGGCTGGTCTCTAACCTCAAGCAATCCTCCCATTTCTGCCTCCCAGAGTGCTAGGATTACAAGAATGAGCCACCATGTCTGGCCAGCCATGATTTCTTTGAATACTTTTTTATCCCCTCTTTCTCTTTCTCTCATTTTGGGACTCTGATGACATGAATGTCCAGATCCTTTGTTGAACTTCCACAGGTCCCTGAGGCTCTGTTCATTTTTTTCAGTCTGTTTTCTCTCTGTTGTTCAGAGTAGGTAATTTCTATTGTTCTATCATCAAGTTCACAGATTCTTCCTTTTTACAGCACTATTCTGCTCTTAAACCCGTCCATTGAGATTTTTATTTTGGTTACCGCATTTTTCATTTCAAAAATTTCAACTTGATTCTTTTTTATATCCTCTCTTTCTTTTTATTTCCTTTTTTTAATAGGGACTCACTATATCACCTAGGCTTATCACAAGTCCTGGGCTCAAGTGTATACCCTCTACTTCTTTGTTAAGACTTTCTATTTCTTTTCTGAGGCTTTCTATTTTTCGTTTGTTTGTTTCAACTGTATTTATAATTGTTTGCTGAGCATTTTTATGATGGCTGCTTTAAAATATTTGTTAGATAATTCTAACATATCTGTCATCTAAGTATTGGCATCTATTAATTCTCTTTTTTCATTCAGTTTGAGATAGTCTTCATTCTTGGTATGATGAGTGATTTTCTGCTGAAACCTGGAAATTTTGCATGTTATGTTATGAGACTTTGGATATTATTTAAACCTTATGTTTTAGCTGGCTTGCTCCAACACCACTCCAATATGGAGAAGGGGGTTCTACCCTGTTACTGACAGGTGGGAGTAGAAGAGTAGGTTCTTCTCTTGGCTTGCATTTACAACAAGATGTATGGTACATTATTACTGCTGGGCTAAGGTTAGAGTTCCAGCTCTCCATTAGGTCTCTATTGATACCTCCCTTGCTAGGACAGGTAGGAATTCCTTGTTACTGCTTCCCAAGTGTCCTACACTGACATCACGGGGCCAGGGAAGAGGAGAGGGCAGGCTTTATTACTACTGAGAAGTGGTGAAAGTCCTAACTAGGCCTCCTCTGATACAACCCCCAGTGGGGATACACTGGAATTCCTCATTACTTGTGTGTGAGAGAAGTTGTCCAGAATCCCCATGTGGTCTGCACTGACACTGCAGCCTAGAGAAGGGGTCATTACTGCCTACCAGAGATAAAGTCCTGGCTCCCTACTTTGTCTTCTCTGACACTACTCTAAAGGGATTTAGGGTGCTTTGTTACAGCCTAGCAAGGGTAGAAGTCTCACTCCCCACTTGGCCTTTGCTGGTGTGGGTAGGGGTGGGACCACAGTTTTAATCTCTGGTGTTTAGCCAATATTGTCTAAAAGTTTTCTGTCTTGCTAGGCTGCCCCTTTTCTTTTCTTTGGTTGGAGAGAGCAGGCTTTTGGTGTGGATTCTTCTTTCTGTGCCACTTGATATTTCTGAATTACAATCTTCTTCCATTCCAAATCTAGAATGTATGAGGCAAAGAAAAACCAAGCCACTTAGGAAACTCACCATCATGTCATCATATCATTCCTTGGGTCTACCCACTCTGCTTTCTTCTATCTACCTCTCAGAGAATTTTTATGATTGTTGTATATATAATTTCCAGAGCTTTTTGTTGTTCTCAGCAGGAGGGACAGAGAAAAGTATGTGCACTCCACTGTCCCTGGAAGACAATTCTCAAAACCAACATTTTGAAATGAATGGGTTGAATTAACTTAAATTATAACATATATGAAAAAAATTAACTAATTGTTTAATTTCCATTGGTTGTTTTCAAGGCAACTGATGAAGGAAATGTACTACTAAAAAGCAATGCCGGCCGGGCGCGGTGGCTCACGCCTGTAATCCTAGCACTCTGGGAGGCCGAGGCGGGCGGATTGCTCTAGGTCAGGAGTTCAAAACCAGCCTGAGCGAGAGCGAGACCCCGTCTCTACTATAAATAGAAAGAAATTAATTGGCCAACTAATATATATAATATAAAAATCAGCCGGGCATGGTGGCTCGTGCCTGTAGTCCCAGCTACTCGGGAGGCTGAGGCAGGAGGATCACTTGAGCCCAGGAGTTTGAGGTTGCTGTGAGCTAGGCTGACGCCACGGCACTCACTCTAGCCTGGGCAACAAAGCGAGACTCTGTCTCAAAAAAAAAAAAAAAAAAAAAAGCAATGCCACAAATATATTCCCAAAGGTACAGAAAGAGATATGTTCAAGATTGTCATGCATATATTGTTGTAAACTTCAACAAAACTAGAAATAACATAAATGTCCACCAGCAAAGGATTGATTAAATAGATTATGGCACATCCTTGATTGATGTT